TAAGGCACGCAAACCCAAATCAAAAGCAGTCGCACAAAAAATGGGCAAAGCCCCTTGTCCAAAATGTTTAACAAAAGATGGCTTGCAGGCCAAGTAAACATATTGACACGCAGGCCTGAAAACTCCTAATCTTGGCGCCCATCCTCCTCGACATCCCATTATTCCTCTGAATGATCATCGAGACGATAAATTATCTTCCCATCGACCACTTTATTGAAAGGCCCAACACCTTCGATCACAAGATCGACCCCACTGTTGATGATTTTAAGATGTTCCACGGTGGTGTTGAAGCCATAACTTAGAGTATTCACAACATCCTGCTCGAGCACACGATTCCGAGAAATCAGGTCTTTCCTAGTCTCAATGGCCTTCTTCGCGTCAATCTCTTCATCGACAGGCGCCACAATATCCTCTAATTACTTTACCCGAGCATCCAGTCGCTCGTTCTCCTAAGTCGTAGCTTCCAGTTGAGGCCTTAGCTTGTTCAAATCCTTAAGGAGCTTGACCTACAATTCATACTATGTCTCATGGTTGATAATGTCATTTTTAAACTTTTCATTATGCCCTTGCGTCCTGGAGATTCGGGCATTGGATTTCTCGAGAGCATCCTGCGAGAAAGTCGCCGCATCTTTCAGGGTCAAAGCAATTTCGAGAACCCTCATCACGACGGCCATATCCTCTAACAGATTTTCCCGTCGGGCTTATTTGTTTGTAAACAGAATACCTTCCCTCTCCTCTTCATGGAGAGCTAAGGAATTTTCCATGCTAAAGATGCTTCGGTTGAGATAACAGGGGGAAACACGAAAGTCTCCCCAACTCCCTTGTCTCTGTCGATAATAACCACGTGCTCAAAGTCTTTCACGCGCTTCCTTTTTACCGGTTGTTCAGGAGGGGAGATCTGGGCCCCTTGAGGAGAGAATGAAACACTAGAGAGGGCATCAACTTTGACTTATTCCTGGAGTTGAGCAGCCCGACTTTTGGGCACCAAGTTTTTGGATTCTTAGGCCTCAACTTGAGCACACGTTCAGGGAGACTCGCCATCCGGACTGCAATCAAAAAGGAAATAGTTATTCTACAAGACAAACAAACAAATATAAACTATGGGCACATCCCCTACCTTGAAGTCTCAATGCTTCCTCATCACAAGAGCACTCAAAGAGCATGTTCGTATTTATCAGTCGGGGAACAAAGAGATGTTCCCCATCATCGTAAAAAAGGAGGTTATTGTCTGGGTCCACGCACTTCTCCAGAGAGAAGCTCTTGACATAGTCCGCTAGCTTGTCATAAGAAAGCATATCCTTGGAGTCCAACTCCTTGGGATTTACTGCGTAACATTCAAGCTTTTTCTCAAAATGTTTCCATTGCCACTCAAGATGAAACTTCGTCGTTAGTTTAGTCATTGTCTGACCATCTTCGACCTCCTTCGAGTGGTCGTATAGAAATTCCAAAGTCGCGTCTGAAAAAGGTTTCACGACGAAGTACCCATCCTTGAAGTTTCAGACAGATTCCAGATACGGTTAGAAGAGTTTCTCGAACTGCTTGAACAACACACAGATCTGTAGTCTGTCGAAGGTCTACCATTGGAGATGGAAGATTCGCAAGAAAAGAGTCAGAGTGGCGCCAACCTTAAGGTACTGGAAGATGAGCTCAAATGCCCGCATGAACGCGAGCGCGTTCGGGTGAAGCTAAGAGGGCGCTAGTTCTAACCATTTAAAAACCCCCACCTGGAAATATGTGAAGGGAAAACACATCCTCGCTTCCTTAAAAGAAAATTCATATATGGGAAAGCGTTTACCTGGAAAAGATGAGTAGATCCTCCTGTTCTTGTGAGGGATTTGGAGCACCCAGGAGGCAAGGGCATCATCTGCTTTTTCCTAAGCGATGTTGAACATGTCAGAAGCATCCTTCATAAAATGAGACCTCTTATTTCTAGGTTCGAGCGCGACCCAAGCCAGGATGTCGCCCGTAAGTATAGTCTCCCCCTGTTGGGGTCGGGAAAAATATTTTCCTCGACTGATTGAGCCATCATACCTGAAAAGCAAGGGGAAAACTGTGAATTCGACATCATCAAATTCACCCTTCCACTGTAAATCAAGTGAAAGGGAAATGAGAGCGTCGAGGATTGGTCCTCGGCCCAAGCCCTCGACAGAAAAAGCAGAGGAGAGCGATACCCTCTCACAAGCATAAGAATGCGCGGGACATTTCATTGATAGAGTTACTTGCCTGAATCCTCCCTGACGACCCCGATGCAAGTCCAGATGGAGCTCACTAGAAATCCATGAATCTCATCCATATTTCATGAACCCATATGAAGTTCATAGACCTTCATCCCAGAATCCATGAATGTTCATTCGAAATTCATGAACTTCATATGGAAATTCATCCATTCATAGGAATATTCAGACGATCAATCTAAAAACCTAAGAAAAATCACGTTTAAAGAAGAAATTGCTTACTTGGAGAAGATGAACAATAAAGACGTCTACATCGGAGATGGAGCAGTAGAGAAAATTGCGAATGAAGGAGACACAAGAGAGAGAACTTGTAAATGACAAGTGAAAATCATGGCTCCCCTTTTTATAGCTAGCCCCCACCATACAGGGTAGCGTGTGAAGGGTCATCATTACTTAGACTCTTAGACTGCCCTAGGCAATGATGGCATTCCAAACAGCTGCCACGTGGGATGTGCGAAATGACACACCACTGATAAGAGTTTCACACGCATAGCCACGCGCTTACACTGTTTCATCCTTGTTGTCAAACACATCAAGGACACGAGCATGAGAAAAATCCTTGCTTCCCCGTGAATGCAGATCCCAAATAAGCACCGCATTAAGACGAGCAGAAGACGAGTAGACCAAAGAAATTCTCCCAAGACAAGTCGACCACGTCACACATAATCTCGAGGTCTTCCTAGACCTAAATCATGGAGTCATTCCCGGTGGGAGTTGACAGTTTCTCCTCTTGGGTAACACTTCCTCGTCATTTAAACGGATCTTAAGTCATCGCCCTTTCACCCAAGGGCAATAACTTGAGGGCTCCTATTCTGGACTAGGTCAGCACCTGCGCCACTGTTGAGGAGGCCCAGTCCAGCACCTCTACAAAGGCCCAAAAGAATACAGCCCAAACCAATGACCGTTGGGCACTTCCCCATGTGTCCACTAAGGGAACGTGACTTGCAGGTGTCCACAACCGCCATCAACTTTCCGTCTGAGAAAAACGGGTCCAACTTACCTATTTTCTCGGGGCAGTTGACCAGGGAGGAGGCCACGTGCTGGACTCCATACACCTATAACTCTGGAAGTCTTTATTATTGGGCCTTATCATAGCCCAACACTGAAGACCTTGGCCCAACGCTGAGAGATATAAATACCCTCTCGCATGAGAGGGTCAGGTATTCATTCACTCACTCTTACTACAATACTTGCGCTCTAATTACTCTCATTCTTACTTTGGCATCAGAGTACCTTGCAGGTACACCCTCTCTAATTCACTCAACAACTATCATTCAACTCAAGCTCGTGGGTCAGTGACGATTCCTTCTGATCAGGTACGATCAGAAAGAGTAAGAGAAAAGAAGAAGAGAAAAAGGAAGAAAGTTTGGAAGTGGAAGAAGAACCTTGAATCAAGAATCGAAACCAACTCCTTTTCATCATCAATCATCTTCTTGAGGTGAGTTCTAGTTAGTTTCCTGACTTATAAAAGAATTTGCAAGAAATTGAAAAGTTAGGGTTTATGTTTTTTACCATGATCTTGATCACATGGAAGTTTTACATGTTTTGCTTATTACTTGTTTTAATTCCATGCTATAACATTTTTTGGTGTACTGTTGGTGTGTCAAGGTGATTGGTGTTGTGTTATTGTGATTTGCTTATCCATGTTCACATTTTTCATTGGTTCTATTCTGGTGTTTTTGCTAAGTGAGAGACCAGCTTGCTAAGCGAGCATTGTTGCAGCCAGAAAATATGTGTTTCTGCTATGTCTCGCTACCAACTTGCTAAGCCTCGCTAAGCAAGAGCTTCCTTACTAAGTCTTGCTACACCTTTTCAAAGCGAGGAAGTGAATTTTCCCAATTTTAGGGCTACTTTATCGCATTGTTAGGAGCTCGCTATGACTCGCTAAGCGAGCATGACAGCATAGAGAAAAATACCTTGGTTCTTGTTTTCATCATAACTCGAGAATCGTGATTCTGATTGATATGAGACTCGAAGCATTGGAAAGCTAATTAAATGGGCTATTACATGATGATGAGAAACCATGAATTAAATCATAGATGCTTGGTGAATGATGACAATAATTATAAGCTCCATGTGTATTATTTATGTTTGATTTCAGTTGTTTGTGCATGATAATTTGAGTAATCTAAGATGATGAAGAGTGAGGATACTTAGGTTAGTATTTAGGTGAATGTGTTAGTAACACAACTTAATTTAGGATAGAAGACTTAGTTTGCGATGTTCGAACACAAGGATGTCTCGATGTGTATCGTAGATGAATAGTCGCTACAAATAAATTGATCATAAACTAATATGCTTTGTATGAAATGTAATTTGTTTAGAGTATTTTTCATAATATTAACGAACTCTTATATGTGATGCTTATCTCACTTGATCTTGATGTCATTATGTCAAAAATAGATTTATCGGTACATAATTAAAACAAAAAGACGTCATACATTTTGTGTCAAAGTATTTATTAAATAGATATTTTGGAGGAATGGTTAAATTGATTCTGATTGTCTACATGAATAATTGATTTTAAATATAGTTTTATTGTCATACATTAGTAGTAATTATCTAATCTAGTTATAATTGTCATTGGCGTATAAACAGCTCGTTTGTTTTAGCTTTAAAATTTTACAAGTTATTATTATTATTTTTTTTTAATTGTAAGACTAATTTTTACATCCTATAATATAAATATATATTATTGAATATCGAAACCATGTCCACTATTAACTATCGAACAGCATTAAAAAAGCGGCTCCATATCTTTCAACCATGTCCATTATCCACACCCTTAAACCCGCTACCTTACTCTCCCCTTCCCTTTCTTCACCCCACACTTCCTCATCATTCCCGTTACAATCATCTTTCAAACCACCCTTCTGTTCCTCACTCCTTTCCCGAAGACTCTTCCTTCCATCCGTTTCCGGCATCTGGGACGCCTTCACTGGCGGCAATAACAACATCAATGAAGCCGTTCTCGCAATTCGACGCGGAATGTCTCTCTTCAGACAGGTACACTTCTCTTTCAGCACCCTTCTTTTTTCTTCATAAATGCTTCCCTTGTAACTGAGTAATTGCTCAGGGTGATGTTTTAGGATCTCTTGTGGAATTCGACAGAGCAATTCAGTTGGACCCTCGTCAAAAAGCCTGTATGTTTGTTTGTTTATTCCTTTTTCGTCACTCTCTTCAAACTAACTTTCGATTCAATATTGTAAAGTTGATATTTGGATTTCTTCAACCACCAGATCTTTGGCAAAGAGGCCTTTCACTTTACTACCTTGATAGGTTTGAACAAGGGGCTGAGCAGTTTCGGTTAGACGTTGCACAAAATCCCAATGATACAGAAGAGTCCATATGGTGCTTTCTCTGTGAAGCTCAACTATATGGACTCGATGAAGCAAAGAAGCGGTATCTTGAGGTTGGCATAGACTCAAGGCCTGTCATGAGGGAAACATACAACATGTTTAAAGAGGGTGGAGATCCTGAAAAGGTGTGAAGCCTTTCACAATTTTTAACTGTTAGATTCATTTCGTTACGCCTTTACGACATGCAATATGATACAATCAAATCATTTACCTCTGTAGCTTGTAGCTGCATTCTCTAATACCAGAGAAACTGATTATTTTTATGCTTCACTCTATGCCGGGCTGTTTTACGAATCTAAGGTATTCTTACCACTTTTAACAACAAGTTTTCTTCAGTTTGAAAAGGACTTGTCAATCATTTTTCCATGTGTAGAATGAAAGTGATGCTGCAAAAGTTCATATAGTAGCTGCTTGCAAGTCTTCTTATGGCCAAAGGTTAGGTTTTGAATATGTACACATTTCTTAGCTATAAAACATAATGAAACTTGGAAATATGAAATATCACATGAATTCTTTAATGCAGGTCTAATGATTATATGGCTTCTCTTTCCAAGGTTCACTGTCTTTGTCGAAATTGGACTTTCAACTGATGTTTTTTGAGTCTCTCCATGTAAAAAGATGAACATCATTCATAAGCTGTTCCATACACTACAGTCTACAGAGATGGTTAATAGAATTTAGTATTCATCATTTACTTGAATATTTTACACCGAGTAAGTTCCAAATTGTTCTGATACAACTCTTATATTGGAGTAGAAGTTACAACGTGGCTCCGTTGCTTGTAATGGGATTTAAATGATTTCACTTTGGCCTCTTGTAATGGGATTTAAATGATTTCACTTTGGCCTCTTGTTTTTAGTCAAATGTTAATCTCATTTTTACTTGTTATCTGAAGAAGCAAAAGTGATTGCAGTTTGTAACAAACAAAAGGTGATTCGTATTGTCAATATAATTAGAACACGCATAAGTATTTTAATTGAGGAAGTCATCCACACAAAATTTGGACACAATTTAGGCACACTCACATAAAAGAAGAAAATAAAAAATGAAAAACAATTAAATAATATATACTCTTACAATATTTAAATGATATATAGTTTTACGGTGTGTCTAAATGTTTATTTGTTGGGGTCTGTGACCAACTAAATATGTTTATCATTAGAATCGAGGAAATATGAAAGAAGAAAAAAACTTGTAGTATCACTAGATTTTTCTCCTACAAATAAAATTAAAATTTTTTGGTGGAAAAAATAGGAGTAGACTTAAGTTTGGATTTAGTTGACAAAAAAATAGAATTACTCTTTCCACTCTTATATTCTTATACGTGTATATCACATTCTTGAAAAATTAAAATTGGTCTTTATACGTTTAGAGATGTATCTTCGAACGCACTAAAATTATATTAAATCACGTTATTCTGAGGTCCACCACATTTTGAACTAATATGGCCTGGAGATGCATCTTCATATGTTATTTGAGTGTATTCAGAAATTCATCTCTGAAATATTCCCTGAAAATCTTTAAAAGGTGTTGGAAGAGTGATTTATTTCGGAGATGCATCTCCAAAAACTCTTCTAAATCATTTCAGAGCAACATCATTCTCCCAACATCGTAATTTTTTGCGGCCAATTAATATTATAGTAAAATCAAAGTAAAATCCATGTAAAATTAAGTTAAATGAAAATAAAAACTCATGTATTAATCCAAAACATAATCCAATACATAACATTTGTCCGAAAATACTAAAAAGTCAAACATCCAAACATAAACTAATTATTGGGTATGTCTAACCCCCTTCCTCTTCTACCGCCTGTATTGCACAATATTTTGTAACTCAACAACCATGGTCTCCATGAGGGCCAGCTGGGGAGTGTCATCCTTAAAGATTATTGCCTCAATGGTCCTTTACCCAACTCCGCAACACGCTGATAAACCGTCGTCAAGCTCTCCGTCTACTCATCCCTAACCTCTAGTACCTCCTAGTTAGCTGGCCTAAGTGGATCTCCAAGAGCGTCTGGTGTCATGATAGGATGTGACACCCTATAGAATAATTTCATGTAGCCTTCAGCATAAGCCCACTGATAAGGAGCGGGCTCCAGGCGGTACTGGTACTAATTGACTCTCGAAATGATCATGTATCTCACCAAGATCTCTACGACGAACGTTGGGAGGAGCAGATTCATATGGAGGTCTCAGAATAATCTAAATATAGTCAAACTGACGCATCACTCACTCGAGCAGATAGGGATAAATAAGAGATGAACCACACGCCAGCCATTCGTAGTATAAGGAGATGAGGTCAAACGAATGTGTCTTGCGGTGACCCTCGTATGGGAAGAAGCAAACATCATATGGTACCATAATGTCAAGAGAGACTCTAAATGGCTCGACCGCACCATTCCTCTTGAAGGGAATAAATGCGGCTGCACATGGTCAGTCCTCATTGTAGCCAGTCATAACTTCTCACCCAGTGATGCAAGGGAAGTGAGAGATGATCCATCTCTAGAAATGACTCGGATACAATATTAATAACAAACGTAACAAATTAATTATGAAAATATTAGTAACAAAAAATTATCGTAAGAAGTGTGCAGCTTATTGTCATCTAGTTTGTCTCCCAAAGACAACTTTCGTCCAGCTTCGAGTACAGATAGACCAAACAGGCAGCCCCCGAGTTGTACTTGGGAATCACAGTCAGATCAGTGAAGTGCGTAAGGTAGACCACATCGACACATGTTACACTTTTGTCCACAATATGAATGTACCAACCAAGAACAAGAGGTGACATCTCAATACGCAATGCCAATGGTACTTAACCTGCACATTATCGCCTAAGAAATCTAAGGCCCATTGCACATGGTTTTTATATATCTTTACCAAAAACTAAACCTAGTGTGAGCACCTCTAGTGTCATGTGTCTCTTGTGTAGCCTCAACTGGGTCAGCCCCCAATTGGATGACTATCAAGTTGCTTCTATCATTTCGATTGATCCTCTCGTGGTTCAGTAATCAACCCTCTAATGGGAAGATGTAGAAGGCAAGAGACATCATCCAAGGTGATGGTCATGTCACCTATATGTAGGTGGAAATGTGATGTTTCTGAGTGCCACATCTTTGCAAAAGTTACATGTATGATGTGGTTTATGCTCGCGTACGCAACATAAGATAAACTGGCAAGACTGGAATAGAGGATAACATTAACGAACCAAGCAGCAGTGCGGTGTTCCAGCTCCAAAATCTTTCTGTCGTGGTTAATCTTTTTAAAACAATCGTACTTCTGTAAAAACAAAATATAACTATCAGTATAGATTTAATTAGTTGGCAATATATGTATTACAAAAAAAGGAAATATACATTTCCATACCAGACATACCTAGCAGCCTGCTCTGCATAATTATAAAATAAGGAGGTGTCAGATGGCCCTCGTGGGTAACTCTCTATAGGGGCATCCAGATCGGAAGCGGCTTCCTCCTAGAATTCATGGGCTTCAGGGTTAACAGGGGCTTGAAGAATCTCAGGTTCTACTGTATCATATGCCTGATATGCCTGAGATAGTCAACTACGAGAACTAGACAGTGGGGCTGCAAAGTAGATGCTCCACCAAATGAGTTATCAGTAACTCATGGCTTCATGCTCCTCGCCTCCGCGGCCTTCTCTCGCCGTACCAATGCAGTTTGGGACACACGTTCATTCCTAATCTGACCAACGTTGTTATCATCCATTACATATGCGTTAAAATAGAGACATATATAAATAGCATATATGGAGAAATTCACAAATCCCTCAAAACACCTGAAATTCTGGTATTCAGATCAAAGATGTCCTAAGAGATGTTGGGATAACTATCTCTGAACAACAACACAATGAACAAGTATAACTATAAACACATTGCAGAAAAGAAAATAACACGTAGGACTGTTAACCCAATTCGGTGAATTGACACACATACTTTGGGGGCTACCAAGCCAGGAAGGAAATCCACTAAATAGTATCAACTCAAAGTTAAACTCCCCCGTTTACAACTTATCACTTAATCACTACATGTGATTTACTTTTACCTAAGAACTCCTAGATATGAGACCCCTCCCACTTCCCTAACAATCACAACCAGCGATTTAACAATTCTAACACTTAGAATAGTAACAAAAGTCACACGTCAAAGACACACAATCATTGTCTGCTTCAAACCTTTTGAATGATTGACAAAACTTACAACTCAAAAGCACAATCCTACTCTTCTATTAACATGATATTAGAGAGGCTCACAAATAACACATATCAACTCTCCTAGAGAGTGGTTGTTGGCTCCTAAATTCGACACCCTTGTTTTTATTAATGTAAGCCATTAAAGCTGAAGGATGGTTTCGACCAGCTGGGTCTGTCGAAATGCTCATCAAAAGATGGCAATGTACTTAGAGAATTTCTTCTAAGTAGGAATCTTGTTGCCTTCGACGTCGAAGGTGCTTCTCGATGAAGGTGTTCGATTGTTCAGAGTGGAACGGTTTGAGATTCAAACGTTTGGAGGGAAAACGGTTCCCAGCGGTTACCAAGTGCAACGTGACAAGATCTGGAGCGTCGAACGCTGTGAACGTGCCAAGTGGAGTCATCTCGAAGCAGCGTAACTGCCCGACGGTTACTTGGGATGTGTTTAGTATAAATATTAGTAGTTCACGCAGTTTTTCGCGTGTGTTCACAATTATATACAAGTTACTCATATAGATTCGAGTACCCAGCGTGAGAGAAAGAATTGTTGAGAATGTATGTGTGAAACACCACTTTAATTAATCAAAGTCATTTATTTTCCAGAAACTTTACTTGCTTTCTCCTTTACTTTTCCAGTCGAAGCCTTTCATTTCAAGCCTTTCTTTATTCTATCAAGTTTCCTTCTTCATGCAATTTACATAAAGCTTCTTTATTTTCTTGTCATTTAATCATTATTAAACTTAGTCAAAACCCCAAAATCAACCATGTCTTAGGATCAATCTGATCGATCCTGCGAGTCACCAAATAAGTAACCTTTTGGAAGATCAGCGGTTGTTTACCAATTCCCACGGTAAACAAATTGGCACACCTGGTGGGACCTTGTGTTGATTTTGAAGTTTAACCTTTTTACACAGAATATCATCTTTTTCGAGAAGTATTGCATGTTATTGAGAAGTGGTAGAATATACACTAACAATACCAATACTGCCAGAAGAAGAGAAGCGATGGCGAATCCGCCAAACAATAACGAAATCCCACAAACGAATGTGGGAACAACAGTTATCCCAACCGTAAGTGAAGCGATAACCGCTGGTTCAACACCAGCAGTAACGGTCACAGCGACGGGGCCATTACCTCTGTTCACTGGCCCCAGAGTGACTTTGGGAACTCCCCCACCAAGGGGAAATCTAGGCACAAGGCCTTATGTTCCCCCAGGATTTATGACAGGCGGTCAAAATCGAGAACCACTCTATGGCATGCCAACTTTTGAATTGGCTAGCCTGACGAACGCTGCGTCCACTTTTTCAGACCCTTTAATGAGTGCCTCTTTGCCACTCCAAGGTTCTGGAGTAGGTATGGCGAACAGAAATAAGACCCAACTCTTAGGA